TTTCACTGCTAATCAGAGCTATACAAGAAAAGACATGAAAGTCTCATTAGTGTGAATTTTAGGGCAACTGGGTCCCTGCCATGATTGCCTCTTGAAAGTAATCATTCTGTGATACTGAGATGTTACTATTTCTCTTACTAACAAGACTTAGATTGTCTCTTTTCATAAACTAGGCCATTGATGTAACTCCTTTTTTTTTACCTGCTATGACTTGTAAAATAAATATTTATTAAAATAGTCTGATTACGAGAGGATAAAAACAAGATGCTTAAAAATTACTTCAGGTTAATCTAAACCATCCCAACGTATAGGAGGAAAAGGATGAAAAAAGGATGAAAATAATCTGAAAGTTATTAGTAGAGTACATGTTCCCACAACTAAAAATTTGATGCTCTATGAGGCGAGATATGCCCTCTAAAACTGGCTCTGGAAAACAGTGTTTCCAGGGGTTATGTTAATAAAGCAGCAAATCAGTATTTCTTGCAAGGTAACATGATTTTCTAAAAGTCTTTCGAAGATTTTATTTATGGAATTAACATAGGAAAGACAACTGCCCTGCAGTCCCTGAGACCATTAGGAAAATATCTTGCACAAACTGATTTCTATTTAGGGAAGGTGAGATGGGACAAGTGCTTACGACATGGGGGAAAGAAGGGAATATGACATCTAACAGTAAAGTCAATGAAGTAGACAATATAGCATCCCAACTATATTTTTGATCATGAAATATTGGTGTCTTTACTAGCTAAGGAATAGCAACAAAAATGAGTGCAAAAATGAAAAAAAAATCAAAAGCCAGCATGTACATGATACTTTTACAGAGAGCTCACGCTGAGAAAATTGTTGAATTTATGATGATATATAAAAGCTCATAATTTTGAGATGGAAAGGAAAAAGTTTACCTATGAACTGTTATGTTTTCCATTTTTGTCTAAAGCAGATGGACTCAAGAACAACAGAACACCTCACAGAGGGTTTTGAGGCAAAATATGTTTAGAAATCGGAAATTGAAAGAGGATGTTTTAGTGCGGCATGTTGGATAGAAGAAATTTGCCTCATTCTGGAGAATGTGGGATCAAGCACTGTTGACTGGTTCTGACTTGGGGATGAGCAAGCCACAAGGTCTTTAGGTTGCAGCAGTCACTTTCTTAAAACTTTGAATGAAGCCCTGCAGGAGCAGCCAAAGCTGAGGAGCCCTCCTGGAGATGCTGGAGTTGGTTAGACCTGCCTGGGTCAGACTAGCGCTAGCAGGATGACAGTACTACCTGCAACTTTATCTTGTACGGTACAAGATACACGTTTGTGAGGAGTACTAGCAGAAAAGCAGGTACCAGTTTTGCTGACCATCAGAATCAAATGATCTTGTAGCAAATCTGGCCAAAAAATAGGGGCATTTCCTTTAAATTCCTGTGGTACACAGATAAATCTGAGGCTGAATCACTCCAAGGAGAAAGCACTCAGAATGTAGTATCACTTCCATGAAAGTTGGCAAATTTGAGGAACTAAACTGATTCACATGCTGAGGTGAAAGTGGTTACTGGCTCATTCCAACTGTGCACCAGGAAAGTGCTAACAAGTAACCAGTATGGACACTGTGCCAGTTCTGTGGCCCTGTTTGGTACTAATAGCTCAGTTTCTCTGAGTCCATTTGGATTTCCCCATTAAAAAGCAGTCATTTGTGATTCTGTGTGACACAGGAACTTTGTCAAGCACACATATGTCTAGCCTTCATCTAAGCAAATGCTGATTGCTTTCTACTAAATATATACGTATTATTCCTATTTTTTTTTCTGGATATATGACATAACCAAGGATGAGAAGCAGCAAATGAGCAGGTAAATTACTGCTTCAGCTTTAGAAATTTTAAAGTGAGTACAACACAAAATCAGTGGGACTTCCTCCAGCTGGCCAAGCATTGAACTGCCTCCCATGAGAAATGCCTGTTTACTGCAGGCACTGGTGGTTCCTCCTGCAGCCTCTTCAAGTTTGAGTACTGCCATTCCTGTCACCTTTTTGAAAGACAAAGATTTTATACTACCTGGATACCCATGCTGTTGATCTCCTAAGTGTGAGGGAAAATGGCTTTTTAGATGCTATCAAATGCTATTATTTAGGACAGTATTTCTTCCTGTACAGGATGTTTTCTTCCTGTAGTGAGGCTGTATCTCAGTCAGTGTGAGTCAGTCAACGTTTGCAATGTAGATGAGATTGCTGGCTGAGCAAGAGATATAAGTCACTTAAAAAACAGATTCGTCACAGTGAATTATGCAGTCTGGCCATATTTATATCAGTGACATAATACATTACAGGGCAATACATAACCGTACGCAAGCACAAGCTCCCTTTTCCACAAGTAAGAACAATATTTTGTTCTTATTCTTAAAAATGAGAGACCAGACCAAAGACCAGATGTACAGGGTAATGATGGAAAATGATCATATTATTTAACTTACATCCAAAGGAGCAAAACGAAAATTGAATCCATGAGGGAAGAGAAGGTTTGCCTTGCTTCACAGTGTCACAGATTAAGTATTTTAGAATCATAGCAAGTTTTCTAAAGACTAGAATTTTGTTTTGTATTCAGGTTATCTCACATGACCAAATCATTACATCTCCTTCTTAATCACAGGTTGTAGGATATGTTATAGACATTGGCATCTGAGTTAGTCATCTTCAATTCCCTTTATGGTCGGTCATGCAAAGCAAGGGCTTCTAGTTGACTTATTTAAACATCTACAGTGCAATGATATGAATTGAATCCAAGACATGCCATTTTCTATTGAATTACTGTAAAAGGAGACAGGACGATTAGCACAGATACTGTAGATGTATACTTGGCCACATGAATTCCCTGTTCCTATGAATTTGTGAAAAGAGTTTTCATACTTCTGGTAAGCTAGGATTTAGACATTTTTGTGACAGAGTAGGTTTATCTCATACAATATATTTTTTCATTGTTTAGTCCTAAATCTATCTTATAAGATTATTTGTTTTTGATATCCAGAAATTTTTGATCATAAACTTAAACTTTCACTTGTGCTGTATCAGCTTGTTATAACTTCTGAAATTCCTTTTATGACACTGACAACATTCTAAGTTTTCTAGTATTTCCAAACAGTTGCTCTAGTCTTAGTCACCTTTTTTTTTGCAGTGGAAGAAATATGCTCTTTTTCTCTTCCATGCGGTATCCAAAAGAACAACAAACCCCCCCAGCAACACAAGGCTAAGACTCACTGAGCAAGTTATACATTTGCACATAGCATTTGGTGTCAGCTGAGCCGTGGTAACTGTCCGTGTCTCCATGACTGGCTTGAAAATATGCAAGAGAGTGTAATTTTATACTGCTTTTACTGAGGGTTGAGCTAAGCCCCTATTTGCAACAGTTGATACGTAAGTAACCACAGCTCAATTAATGAACAGTAACTTATTAACTTATGTTTTGCTTATGATTCTAAGCTCTTAGAAGAAATTCTATCCACTGAGCAGAATTATATCCAAAGGCTCAAGTGTGTTGCTGCTTCAGGATATTCTTTTTTTGCTACTGTCCAGCTGTAATATCTGTTTTGCTGCCTGTTATCACTCAGGCTTGTTCAGCATACTGGATTTCACACTCCACTTCTCTCTGAAGATTGGTGTCCTGAACTATTTTCCTTAGAGGGGGATTAACTTGCATTTTTCAAAATAAAATTCCATCTTTTGAGGTAACATTATAACTTCTAATCCCCTTTATACTCTTTACTGCTATGCAGTTCTGTTCTTTTATCTGTCAACATCTTAAAAAAAGCTGTTTACCCCAGTCTTCTATATATTTAACAGACATAAAACAAAAGCAGATTTAACTAATCTGCAACACAACTTCACATATTACCAAGATGCCAATTGACCTTTTCCCATCACTCTTATATAAATCATTTTACATACAATTATGAAAAATACTTTTTGACTCTCTGTATTTACAGCTATTTGAATCACATGATGTTTATTATTTCTGCATTTTTCAAAAATATTACTAGATTTCTTTGTCTTGGTTTATACTAAGGCTTTGTAGGTTTTATAATGACAAACATTTGGCATAAACAAACACTGAAGATTCATTTCTCAACCTCTAGTCTTCAAAAGGAAGTGCTAAATATTTTTGTATATGTTTATTTTTAAAGTTCCATTCAGTGACATATAAATGACTTTAGAGCAACTATAACCTTTAATTAAAGATACTGAATCCTACTCCCCACTTTAGGTAGCTGTATGTTGTGATGAATGTTCATCACAAACTGCTGAAGAAAATGTCCGTCTAAAATGTTAAAAGATATAAAGCTACTGATCATAGTTGGAGTATTATGACTTTCTGTCATTATTGCTTCCTTGCAGACTTTCTTGACTCTCTGCACCAGTGGCACATATTCAGGTTTGCTATGTCAAGTTCCTCATAAAAATAAAGTTGCAAGAAGCAATTTTTTAAAACAAGAGAAAATAGACTATGGATCTCTGCTCTCAAGAAAGAAGGAAAGAAACAACAAAAAACATTGCACCACACTTATAAAGCGAAAGAAAAGGGGGATGTAAAATGGCTTATCAAAACCAGTAATATTGTAAAGAGTTGACAGACTGTTCTGATTTTGATCCACCTTAATTATTCAGTATAGTCAGTTATATCTTAACCTTGCAACTGTGTTGGAACTGTATGAATTTGCTACAAATATCATACAAACTATTAAGAGCAAAAAGGCCCTTAAACACTCTAATTGGTTTTACAGTTACACAGAATCGGGACTTTTGACACTCAAAACACACACGAAAAAAAACAATATATAATAAATTGTTACATTTTGCCTAATATACTTAATTGCAGACATGCTTTTTCAGAACTTAATAGTGTCATCTCCCAAAACACAAAATCAATTTCCCATCTAGTACACAAGGCTGTAGTGAGCATATGCAGGACTTATGGTTTAGAACCTTTTACACACATTTTCATAATTGTACAGACTTTCCAAACTTACCTCCTCTATGGATAATCAAAGAAGTTTCACTTCCAACAGGACATTCTTTAAGTATATCCACTACTTCTGCATGGCTCAGGTTCTGTACATTCTGCTGGTTGATCTCAACAATGAGGTCACCTTCACACAAACCAGGACATCCCTGAACGTCTAGAATTTGCTTCACCCTCTGTCCTGTAGGACTGTCTGCTATAGTGAAGCCAAAGCCCTGGGCCCCTTTCACAATGGTTAAGGTCATGAGTTCAGCTTGTGTGGCCCCAGAAGAAGCCATTGATACATTATCATCATGGGCAGGTGGTGGGAATGTGCTATCAAGCTGACTATCTGCTGGAATGGAGTGCAAGGAGTGTGGTGGTCGATCTGTTACGTCTGGAACAGACTGAGAAGTCCTAGAAATGTATTCCAAATAAGTTTCATAGTTATGTCTTCCATTTACCACTACCGGAGGCCTCTCCATTACTGCAAGGGGTGGCACCATGCTGTTGGCAGGATCTTCAGGATCAAAGGGCAAAGGGTATCCACGACATAGCACCAAGTTGACACTCTGACCAATAGGAACAGACTGGAAGAGTTTGACTACATCTGCGTGAGTATGTCCAAGGACACAAACTTCATTAATATAGACAATGACATCACCTAGAAAGAGAAGAAAAAAACAACAATATGAGATGACTTCAATAACTGTTGGCTCAGGCAGAATGCATCTTTATGAGACTAAGCAAAGGGACCATTACTGTACTAAAAAAGAAAATAAACTAGAACAATACACTCATACAGTGAGGCAAAAAAAAAGAAAGTCTGCCTGCAAATATCATATAAGAACATAAGGCAGCACTGTCTGTCTTCTGTGGAAGCTCGCAGAAATTAAGCTAGATCGAGAAATAAGCTTTTATTAACATTTCTTCCCTATTTCTCCTACACCTTTCAGTGTAGTCCAGGCAGAGTCTTTTTACCTCTACAAAGGAAGATTACTTGGAGGGCTTGTTACTGAGAAATGTCATTGTTTGTTAAGAATAAAAGGGAAAATAATAAGAAAAAAGGAAATGAAGAATAGCCATGAACTTAAGAGTCAGTGATTGGGTATGTAAGCCTGTATATGCATGTGCATGAGAAAGTACTTCTTTGACTGAAGTTGCTGACAGTTCTCTGTGTCTCTCAGTTAGTTTTTGCCATCAGACACAAGGAATACTGCAGTCATTTCCTATCCCAGGCATGAACTAAAGTGTATTTTGTATATGATACCATTTAGGGGTATTTTCTGGTAGTCATAATGGTTTAAGTGCAATGGTAGGACAAATTTTGTATGCTGGGATAAAAGCTTTTATTTACTCTGTTGGCAAAGTCGGAGAAATTTAGATGTAAGTCTGAAAACCTCTCCAGTATTTCCAGATAAACCATTTGGTCAACTTTACTTCAAAATCTTGTCTCATGAATAGTACAGTGTTAACAATCACAACATGGATGAAGAAGAAATCATAGTCAATGTGCTATTTATGGCTCTCCAGATTGCAGCAATCATCTGCTGCTAATTAGAAGTTCTGAAATAAGTTCATTTTTGATATTAGAATGGATCTATGTATTTGTAATCTTAAATATTTTATGGCAATGTTAAAATGCATAGTAAAATAAAAATGAATAATCACGATAAGCAATATCTGGAACTACCTGATGACTTATAATCAGCTTCCCTTTGTGAATAATACAGCTTGCATCTTCATAGCATAGGAGAAAGATGTTTGGCATTTTGTAAGTAAGTGAAGATCTTCTATTTTACCATTAATTAGGCAGAAATATCAGTTAGCTGTACAGTGTACAGAGCACTCTGTAATGTGTCCACAAGGTGCAATAATTGACTTATTATAGCATGTCTTTTAGTGATATTTCAAAATTCAATAATAAAATGAGAATCTTTAAGGGAAGAGGAGGTGGTTTGTGTGGGAAGAAATGCTTCAAGTGTATTTATGAAATTATGTATTCCAAGTATTTCAATCAAAAATCATGGAAACTGAAGAAAAGGCAAGGGCGGTTCCTAGGTGCAAATGAAATGGCCAGTTTTCACACGATCAGGCTAACAAACAGCCTCTCAGAGTTAACTGCATGTGCACAAGCTGTCATTCATACAAAGATCTAGGGAGATAGAACACAGATTAGGTCATTTTTATTAATTTTCAGCCATATTCAAAGTCCAGTAGGAAATTCTGTGTTGCTTCTCATGGGTTTTTAATCAAGCTCATAGTATCCATGCCCATGCTCTTAAAATAATTTTACAGAAAACGTCATCTGGCAAGGGCCATATACTTAAAATTCTTCATATGCATATCTTGCATGAACTTTAGATCTAACAAAATATAAAGTGAGCCATCTAATTACTTGCTGTTTGTTAATACTAATTATGCAATTGCTCATGTTTTTAAAATAAAAATGGCTGAGTTATTATCACATCTTAAAGAACATTTCAGTACAAGATAGCTACAGCATGATAATACTGAAATACTTGAAATACCTGCCAAGAAAGGTGTAGCATTTCTTCTAACAGGAAGATTAAATTAGCTGCTAAAATGTACAGAGAAGTGTAACCTGGAGAGGGGTTCATGCACATAAAAGTCACAGTTACTGACTGGAAGAGCACTGTACATTTAAAATTGAGCTTTTTATTATTAGCTTTAAAATAATTTTATCTGATGGATAGTATGCAACAGCCAAAATGAACTAAAGAGAGCTGCTGGGAAATAAAACACCTAGCTGCCCCTGTGCTCAGAAATCCTTACAAGTGTGCTTGCTGATATGTGAGAACACTGAAGAACCCACAAAAATATATCTGTACACAGAAAGTCTCAGCCATTTGCTGAAAATCTCTGTGAAGCTGACAGTAACTTTTACCTACAGATCCTCCATTCAGGCACGTGCCTGTGGGATCTGAGATTTGGCCACAGAGTGATGTAAAAGTGATTAGGTAGTGAGTAAAACAGACTGAAGTGAAATCAGACCTTTTTTTTTTTTTTTTGGCATTCAGGCATGCAAACTGAAATTAGATGGGCTCAAATTTTCTTCCTAGGTGGACCTAAGCAGCAGGTATTTATCAGCTGTTCAGCACCCTTCGAAGTCAGTAACTCTACAAAAGACAGAGATTACGCAAGTGTTAATTCAGGCTTAAACTTGTCCTTGTCAGTGGGATGCCTGACAGATGATGCAGAATAACTTCTTGCACCCAAGCCTGGACCTTTGCTTTTTCCACCAGGCCAGCAGAAGAATTTAGTGCAGACACGTGACTATGACTTTACGTAAGCGTCAGATCTGTTGAGTAAGCACGTGTCATTTTTATATGCAATCACTTTTTTTAGAATAGAACCCATTTTAATTCTCCCCTGAACCCATACACATGCCTAATTAAAAAGATGTCTATTCAAAATTTTTGTGCTTAACCAGCATGTATCATGTAATTACACCCAGCCAGATGTGGATTAGTAGAAGGGACTATTTACACTGCGTTTGTGTTTTGCATGTAGTGGTAAAAGCTATTTAAATAGAGGCATGTAACTTTTCTGGAGAGAAATAAAATATATTCCATGAAAATCTGAAGACTTTGATTATGACAAACATGAAACACTGCAGATTAAAAGCAACGGGAAAGGAATATTTAAATGAATGCTGCCTATAAGAAGCCAAAAGCAAGCAGATCCTCTCCCTGGCTAGACAGTATTTCACTTCTTCGGGCATATGAAAGCAGATCGTTGCTGCTAAAAACTGTCCATTTATGAGACATAATTACTTAAAAGATAAGTAATTTGGAGGTAAAATCACAGAGAAAGAAAAAGGTCCAAATCTTAAGGCAGTCTGTTATTTACAAATTATATAAGCCTGTTCCATTTAGGTTTTGTTTGCAGGAGCTGCTTTTGCATCCTGACAAACCCGGTGCGAGGGAATTGCGTGACAGAACATCAAGGGCTCTGAAGAGCGAGATAAAAACGTGTGCCACGTTTGCAGCGCTTTGTGGGATTGCTTTGAAATGTGCCGCCGTGTGCTGAGGCGCAGGTAGGAACAAAACTGTCTTTTTCTTCAGGAAAAGGAGGTCAACATTTACAATGCATATGCTCTGGTAGGCACGGCGTTCATTTCCGAGCGCGGAGCATTGCGTTTGGGCTCTCCGGAGGGCCTCCCCCCGCAGCCCATGGGCAGAGCCTGAGGTAACCACAGCAGCCCCTGTCCCTGCCCGGGCAGCCTGGCCGTCTGCCACGTGTTCCCTGTGGAAGGAAGGATGTTGGCACGGCCCTGCGGAGGGCACACGCCATGGACACGGCCATGGCTGATTCCTGACACAAACCGCCGGAGGGGGAGCGGGGAGACGCACGGAGCGAGGAGCCAGGCAGGGTTTGTGACAGGGCAGCAGCGCGGCGACACGCGCCTTCCTCGCCATGCCAAGCTATCGATTTAATGGGACATTAATAGGATTAGGTGGTCACTTTTCTTTCTGGTGGCTCTTTGTAGGGCTCTTTGTTTAAGAATTGCTAACATCGTGAGGACAATGTATAACTAGGCACATACTGAAATGGTTTTTTACGCAGAAGCACAGAATGGCGGAGGTTGGAAGAGACCTCTAGAGATCATCTAGTTCAACCCACAAGAGTAAAAACACTTACTCACATACTTAAAAACTGCCAAAAGAGAGATGAATAGGATTAGTCTGCATTTTAATCTATAGAGGTAGAATTTGGGATTTTGTTTTAACTTCAGAGATATTACTCTTTCTGAGAACACTGTCTGCATCTGAAGCGGATCCTGCTGCCAGGACTGGGTCAGATTTATCCCTCTGGTAGCTATTTACCAAGGCCAAAACTTTCCACACTGGCTGCTCACCCCCGTGACCGGCCTCACAGCTGCATCGGTGAGGACAGCACATGCCTTTACTTATAGCAAGCACAACTCAAATGTATCAGAGCAGCGAAATAATTCCCAGCTAAATATGTGGAATTTTACAAATAATCCAGTACATACAAATACCTCAGTGTATATCAAAGTGTCATCTTTGATTATCAGTTCATTAAGAAATATCTTAAGTAAATGCAAGGCTGGAACACGGAACAGTTCCTGTTCAGGAGTTTCACTAAGGGTGTTCAACCTTTTCGTCATACTTGTCTCATGTATTGCCTCTTTCTTTTCTCACCTCATGAGACAGTAAAATCATAAACAGAAAACTTACCAGTACTTCTAAGATCATTTCTATACAGCAACAGTTAATCAATAGTTTTTTATGCTTGTACAAATATAGGGTTTGCTTTAAAACTGCCACGCAAAGAGAAAGAGTAGAGCTCCTTATGGTTCTCCCAGGGTTTACTGTATTTTTTCAGGTTAATAGAGGGTAATCCATTATCAAACTGACCTTCCTTCCAAGCAAATGTTATCTTAATATCTCGAGAGCCTATTTCACTGCCAAGTACTCATTTTCAAGGGCAGTATATTTTTATTCTTTGCAAAACAATTTAATGCCTTCTCCATTGAATAATTTATCTTTTCTTTTCCAACTCTTCCCTGAATACTACATTGATTCTAAGCAACAAAATTTAGCTTGCATTATATTTTGATAGCGGAATAGGGGGGCAAAATCATTAAGAAAAGCCCCATCAAATCCCTTCTTTAAA